CTTGTGGTTGCCAAGGGGGCAGGGGGTGGGAAGGGACAGATTGGAATTTCAAAATTTGTAGATACTGACAGGCATATGCAGAACAGATAAACAAGATTATACTGTACAGCACAGGGAAATATATACAAGATCTTGTGGTAGCTCACAGTGAAAAAAAATGTGGCAATGAATATATGTATGTTCATGTATAACTGAAAAATTGTGCTCTACACTGGAATTTGACACAACATTGTAAAATGCAACAAAAAAAGCAGCACAAACAAACAAACAAAAACAAAATGAAAATTCCCCAGTGAGAAATTTCACTTATTTTAAATATATATATAATTTTTACTAAACAAAACTGTAAATTATAGGAATAATAAATTATAAAAATAATAATCTTTTGTCGTGAAGGCAATAACACATCATTTCAGATAATCTGGGCCAAATAAAAATGCCAAGGTAGATAAAAAGGATAAGCACAGGTACTCGTGTCTCAGTCAGATGTGTGAAAAGGAAAGCATGAAAGTGTGTAAAAAATGGAGGAACGAGGAACTCACGCTCCTGCCAGCCAGCTGCAATTCGACATTATCCTAAAGACAGCCATACAGAAGAATGTATTTATGTTATAGTGTTTTTTCAGTGTTTATTTTATTTTCAGGCAGGGGAAGTAATTAGATTTATCTATGTTTTTTTAAGAGGAGGTGCTGGGGATTGAACCCAGGATCCTGAGCATGCTAAACATGCACTCTACCACTGAGCTGTGCCCTCCCCCTGTATTATAGTGTCTAAGGAAAGAAAACGATTGGTCACGTCCAGAATCCTCACTAGGTAAAGGTTTGGGGGTGTATCCAGTCCCGAGTCCGGGGCGACACTGCAGCCCAGGCGTGGAAAGCTCTGGAGCCGAATTGCCAAGGCTGGCTGGTCACTGGCACGTGGCCCCAGGCAAGGGATTTAACCTCTAAACCTCATTTCATCAGCAGCAAAATGGGCACAACCCTAGTAACTGCTCAGGGGGCCTCTGGGAGGTGACATGAGATAAAGCACCCGTCAGAGCCTATGACGTGCATGGAACACCGCACAGTCCAGGTGGTTCCTAACTCGCCTCTCCCGTGCTCAGCAGGCCAGCTCTCTACCGCGTTCTATTCCATTCCAGCCCACAGAGTCCAAACCTACATCCTAAAGGTCACCAAGAGAAATTTTCCCTTTAGAAGTATAAATTGGGGGAGGGTATAGAGCAGTGGTAGAGTGCATGCCTAGCAAGCACAAGGTCCTCGGTTCAATCCCCAGCACCACCATTAAGAAGAAATAAATGAACAAATAAACCTAATTACCTCCCCCTCAACAATAAATAAAAAGAGTTTAAAAAAAAAGAAATATAAACGTATATTTCAGGTGCATATAAATACTTTCCTTTAGTTATGGAAGCTATACAGGTTCTCTGTAGAAAACTTGTCAACTATATAAAAGAAAATAATAAAAATTACTGACAAGCTCCTACACTCAGAGATAATAATTGTGAACATTTTAAGGTATGTCCTACCTTTTATGGGCACTGTTGTACATAACTGGATAATATTGATAATATAATACTAACTATTATTTTTCAACTAAATTTTATGATCATTTTCATGTGTCAATAAAATCTTTATAAGCATAATTTTAATAGCTATAATAATAAAATTATAGCAGTAACATTTTTCAAGGCTGCTTTTATATATATTAGTTCCTTTAATTCTCACAATAATCTTACGAGGTTTGGTTCTATACAACACCCATTTTACCTTCTGAGAGAGTGAGTCGTAAAGCCTGCGGACATACAATGATACACTAGGAAGTGGCAGAGGTGAAATTCAAACACAGCCTTATGCTCGGCAGCTCCCGCTCTTAACCATTCCACCCTTCGCCCCTGTTCTGACTTAATCATCATCCTCCTACTGTTGGACACTTAGGGTATTTCCTGTTTTCCACTATGACCAGTAATGCTGTAATGAAATTGTGGATACATGAATCTTTGTTCGTGTTTTGTATGGAGCCCCAGAAATAGAATTACTGAGCCAAGAATATTAATATTTTGAGGATTATTGTATATATTGCCAAACTGTTTTCTAAAAATCAGTTTATAATCCTCTCACTAAGATTTCCACACTCATTCTGAAAAGCCCACACACAACGGATGCCACAGAATACAGCAAATGGGCTTACCAACTGTAATGGGCAGCTGCTATATTTGTAGCTGACGAACACCTTTAAAACAGCTTTTTTATGATATGTTTGTGTCCCAAGGGAACAGCCAGAACGTTAGCATTTCCAGCCTCCCTTCTGCCAGGGTGCAGGCAGAGGACTTAGGTCCTGCCAATCAAATGTACCCATGTAAGACTGATTTAGAAGTGGGCGATGTGAAGGATCAGGCACATGAGGGACACACAGCTTCGTGAAAGTTGGGTAGTGGTGGCACCCAGTCCTTCGGGGACAGCAGGGCAGTTTCTGGCATCAGGGCATGAGCACGGTCCTGGGACCACAGTGCAAGGTGCAGTGGGGGTATCACTGGAGCAGCCCCATGGAGTGTGTGGGCATTCCTCCTGGCTGTTTGGCTTTTAAGCCCAGCCCCCTGGCTCTCCCAGAGACTCCAGGAGCCTCCACAACTTACAGAGCATCTGGTCTTCTCCAGCCCAGGGTGCAATGTCTGGCTGGGGTTTAGGTCCCAGGGAAGAGCTCCATGGCCGACAGTTACCCCAGCCCTGGTGCAGGAGGCCTTGAGTGGGCATCAGGGCAGCCCTCTTGGTCTCATCTGCACTCTAGCCCAGACCTTGGCGGTCTTTTAAAGTTCAAATCAGCCTCAGGGTGCTCATTTATCTTTTATTCCTTTTATTTTTTTTGGTATTATTTTAAGACCACCATAATAGCATTTGGTACTGATATAATTTTATGCATTCTTTGTCATTTGCCACAAGCACACAAATGTTTTACATAGTTGCAAAAACAGAGTTCTTATAATGTCATATTCTGCTTTTATTCCTCATACAATAAAACTTTCCATACTGTCTCACATTGCTTTTCCTAATTATCATCTTCAATAGCTATTAATATTGTGAGCAAAAGCACCATACTCTTATTAGCAATCCCTCTATTACCAGGTATTTATGTTCTGTTTTCTATCATAAAAATGCTGAATAGAGCATCTTCATGCAGAGTTTTTTCTCTGCATCAATAACTTGAGGAAAATGAATGAATCCAAAATATAGAGGTTTCCGTAACTTTTCATATATATTGCCAAACTTCTTTCCAAAGGATTGTGCCAACACACATGGCAAATACCGGCATGGTCTGAACATCAGCTCGGCCACCACCTCCCCGGCATCGTGTGTGGGCGGATGTCGGGGCGATGAGATGGCGCATGACGTTTTCCTCACTGTCTGTCTCCCCGTATGTGCAAAAGGAATGTAACACCCTTTATTAATCTGAAAACCTCCTCAAGGACAAGAACGAAATGAGGGGAAATCTCAGGGGTTTAGAAAAACTCCGTTGAAGCCATAACCTCCCTTTAGAGGCCTCTCTTATAAATAAACAGGCAACTGCTGAGGTGATGTGTCCAAAGGCTTCCCCCTGTTAAAATGCTAGAGGGAAGCTTATGCTACATACACCCTTATTTAAGTGGTCCAGGTTCTCTTTTTTAAAGTCAGTCATTCAGAGGCTGTCTAGAAATTTATGTCAGAAACTATAAAGGAAGATATTAACAATACGACTGTCATCAAAGCTGCCATATGACTAAAACCCTGTAACTAAAAGACAAACAAAAAATTGTGGGAGATACTTGTAACATATGTCAAAAGATAAATAGCCCTAATTTCCCTCATGACTCACCGGATCCAGAGGCGACTCAGAAGCATGTGGCAGCCAGCCTCCAAGATGCCTCCTCTGACCCACCCCTGGAATTCATGCTCTGGAGCGGTCCCCTCCACCCTGCTCCAGTGCTGGTCTGTGTAATCACTTCTGAGATTAGGTCATAAAGGAGACCATGGCTGCTCACTTTGTGTCTCTCTGGGGTCACCCACTCAGGGAGAAGCCTTATGGAGAGGCCCATGTGCAAGGAAGTGAGGTCCCCAGGCAACAGCGCAGGGACCTTGGAGGCGGATCTTCCTGCCTCAGCTACACTGGCTGAAGTCATCACTAACACCTGAGGTTGTCCCTTTCTTCTACCTTTTCTCTATGGCCTGGATGATCTTGAAGGGCTGTGCCCTCTCATGCCTGACACCAGCGAGCCTCTCTGCCTCACCTGGCCCCTGTCCCTTTACTACCCTTCCCTCCTGCCTGCTCCACCCCGGATGCCTGCCCTTTACACCTTTTGACTCCATGTCACCTCCGTTCTTTCTTTTTCTTCAACCTACATGTTTTCTTCCTTGTTCTCTGCTTTGGTTGACAATTCATCTCTTTCACCTGAATGATCATAATGCAGAATTTAATTAAGTTTATTTCCCCACACTCTGCATTGAAAAAGCAGATCTTTTTCTTTAACACCAGTAGTCAATTAAGTTTCACTGTTTACTGTGACCACACAGAATAGTTCTTAAATAAGTTTTTGTCTCTGGCATAACTGCTGATATAATTTTACATGACCCATTAGAAGATATAGCAATTCTTCTAAGTAAGAAAAGTCAAGGGGGAGGCCATGTTTCGTTGGTCTCAAACTGAACTTAGCCTGTGTTTTGACAGTGGAAATATGTTTAATCCTTTATCACAAGCACTTAACACGCACACTATTAACCTGCTTTCATATGTCATACGGAAAAAGGACAAAACTCTAGTGGTTTTGATTAGATCTAGAAAACATTTGTCATCTCAAAAGAAGATGATAATCACTTGAGGTTTGTTTTATGCTTCTAATATAAGCACTAATATAAACAGTAAGTATTCGATTCACTATTTTCCAACCAAATCAAGTAGCAGACAGTTTTATCATCTTCACCAGTGTTTCTGTTCCATCTGGTTGCTCTCAGGATGTCTGCAGATTAGAGGAGTGTTTTGATTGTACCAGGTCTCACGCCACAATTCCTCCAGAAATCCTGGAGGTGAATCTGATGATTTTCTCCATTTCATCATTTGCCTGTTAAGCTTCTCCTACTATGGAATCCATAAGCATTCCCAAAGCCCCAAATTAAAATGAGTCAAATTTGGGTGGGAGGAGAGTAATAGCTCAGTGGTAGAGCACACGCTTAGCATGCACAAGGTCCTGGGTTCAATCCCCAGCACCTCCATTAAAACACACACACAGATACATACAAACAAAAATTTTTAAATGAGTCATATTTTAAAAAACATCTACAACTTTCCAAAAAATAAGCCTGCTAGGAACTTTCTGACACTGTGGGTCTTAATCATTTAGGCTGGGATCCCTTGAGAATCTGATAAAAACTACAAACTCTCTAAGAAAACTGCAAATATGTATTTGAGATTCAATTTCAGGGAGTTCGTTAACTATCCGAAGCCTTCCCAATGGAGCCCCGTCAGAAACTCTTTGCTTTAATAGCCTCTGATCCACGGCACTGACAGGAGCTGAGCGACTTCTCAAACATTTTCTTACCATTGCTCTTGCTTCCTCACGGATGGATGGAATAGAAAGGATGCTGTACAGGGCTCCATTCACATACGGCTGAATCTTTAAGGGGAGAAAAAAACAGTCATTTGCAGGTTCTATAATACTGTTACAACTCAATTATCAATCACCACCCTTGAGAACAGCCTGGCTGAGGAGGGTGAGCACTACCATCTTCACAGCTCTCCCGAGAGCCAGGATGCACGTTTTCAAATGACAGACATCTCCACTGGCAAGTCCCAGGGCAACAGCTGCAACTAAGGATTCCAAACAGAGTTCATCTTTCCCACACAAAACTCACTCCTGCTGAATTTCATTGCTTAATTAATGTCGTCCTGATCACTTGGGCTGGAAACTTTGAAGTCATCACTGATTTCTCTCTCTTTTTACTCTGAAATGTTGAGTCTTGAAGCCACTGGAGAAGGGTTGATGGAACCCTTCTTCTCCATATGCACAGCTACTGTCCTTATTCAGTAATGATTATCCATGACCACAAAATGTGGTCATCGCACATGCCACTACGCCAAATGCACAAAAGGGTCTTTTGCTTTCGATGTTCACTCTTTAATCCAACCATCATATCCTTGCCAAGATTCTATAGCATGAAACCTTCCATAGAACCTACCTGGAAAGTCCTAACTCCCTACACAGGGCCCTTCAGGGGTCTCTGTATCATCTCTATATCATCTTCCTCTGCTCCTCCCTTCCTGCCACATGAAGTTCACACTGCACACACTCCACATGACTTGCCCACACACACACCATGCTGTGACATGCCCTGGCCTGGTTCCAGCACTCACCTTGCTGAGAACACTCGTCCCATGTATGTCTATCTGGAAAACTTAGCTCAGACGTATCTCAGAGGGAGCCTTTCCTGAACCCCAGACAGGCTACTCTGCTTCCTGTACACCATTCCACGTCTATGCCAGATTCAGTCTATTTTTTAATGTATACTTATGTCTCCCCTATTATGAGCCCTTCAAGGACAGGACCCATGTGTTACTCACACGGATAACACCAACATCAGGTCAGACAGGACATGGGAGGCGGCAGGTGCTTGGTAAGTGAGCCCTCCCTGCTGAGCAGACTGTGCACTACACTCCCCCACCGCAGGGGGCGGGGAGCATTTCCCGTAGCCCTTTTCCAGCACTGGGCTTTATTCCTACTCTCTATTTTTGTCAATCTTACGGGTGAGAGAAAGCATCCCATATTTGGTTTTATTTTTATTTCCCTGACTGCTAGCGAAACTGAACACCTTTTCATGTTTTTAGGCCATCAAGATTTACTATTCTGTAAACTGTCCATTTATCCTTTTCTCCTGATGGCTTTTTTTCTGTTTGACTCTTAGTTATCAATGTATAGGAGCTCCTCATATATTAGGGATATTAGACTTTTGCCATATGGATGCAAAAATTTTTCTCAAAAAGTCTTTTGACTTTGATTGTAGCATCTTTTTCCAAATAAAAAATTTTAACAATGAGTGTGTATATGTCCATGAATGACTGAAAAATTGTGCTGAACACTGGAATTTGACACAACAGTGTAAAATGATTATGAATCAATAAAAAATGTAAAAAAAAATAAAAATAAAAAAATTTTAATATTCATATAATCAACAATGTGTATCTTTTATGGCTTCTCACGTTTATTCTTCAAGATAATGACTGTCTCATAAGGATAAGTGTGTGTAACATTTATTTGTGCAGCAAACACATTTCTAGGCTCTAAAACATATCCAGGTCGATTTTCCAGCTCATTCTCAAAGCAAATGCATTGACAAGAGTTAATGACAAGATCTGAATTCTTTGGTCTATTCAGTTTTCAGAGCTGACACGTGGTTCCAACACTTGAAACCAACCTTTACTAACAGATGACAGAATATACTTCCCACTGGCATCAACTGCCTGACTTGGACAGAATGGAGAGCAGAGGTCATTCAGGCCTAAAAGTAGTTCAGAGCTCGCTGATTTTGACATATCAAAGTCATGGCCGGCGCTGTAACCACCACCAAAACTGCACTTGCTAAAGCAGCCCGGGCACTCAGCTGAGGTGGGTAGGGAAATGTGAAAGAAATGACCAGAATGGGAACTCCTGGAACTGACTCGGGGAAACCACAGACTTCACTCTGACCCAGTAGTACTCAGTCCCGTCCTGCCGAGACAGCCCTGCACCTGATCTGGCTAAAGAAGGCACACCTTTGTGGATGTTTTGGCTTCAGGGGCAAAGCGATGCCATTTGCAGAAAGCGAGCGAGAGAGCAATCATATTGTTTATTAGTTTTATTAGTTTATCCAGACCTTGACTTTACTTAAAAAGGGCTTGCAGCCCATCGGCTGGAAAATCACACCAGTGTCAGGGAGGACATGAGTGAGAGCAGAAGCTAGCATGACCATTCTGCAGACAATCTGGCAGGACTCGGACCCAGACAAACGGGGTGAGCCCGCAGGGACGAGTGTGCCCCAGGGAAGCTGCGGCACGGGCCCGTGTGGGGCAAGTGCGTGGCAGCCAAGAGTGGGAGGCAAGAAAGGGGACACCCTGAATAAAATGAGAGGGCTGCAAACACGGGGCTCTTGTGCAATAGTGAGAGTTAAAGAACTAGATGTATACAAAGCAACACAGACAGGTCCTAGAAACACAGTGAAAATACTAAGAATGAGATTTCGAGGGCAATACTATTTATACAAATTCAATACACTCACAGTATTAATACTTTTTTGAGCTACATATATGTCCACAGACATACATTAAACCCAACAGAGGCGTCAGCGTGGGGGCAGGGGAAGCAGGGGGAGACAAGGAGGGAAAAACAAAGCCCGAGAGGAAGCTGCACGGGCCGGCCGTGGCCGTGTGCTCAGAAACCAGGCGCTGGGAACAGCCTCCTGCTCTGAGCTCCACAATGTAAAAATTATAAAAGTTCAGGCAGCTTATGCAAGTCCCTGGAGGAGGGCGAGTGCTGCAAGGACCCCAGCCAGCCCTCCCCCGAGCCCGGGGCCAGCAGCGCTGAGTACCTCGTGGTTTTCATGGCCCAGCAGATCCGAAAGAACTTTCAGCACGAGGCCCGCCACCTTGGCACACATGTTCTTCCCTTTAAGAAAAAAACAACAAAACAAAACAGGATGTGTCTAAACTCAGTGGCACAGTTTCAACTCAGAGACGTGAATACAAATCTTGGCTCCTCTGCTTATGAGCTGTGGGACCTTGGGGGAGTCACTGAACCAGTCTGGGCCCCAGTTTCTTCCTCTGAGGTCCCTTAGGGATTCTGAATGTCCACGTCAAAGGGCGATGCAGAACTGAGTAACTCAGTACAGGCTGACACACTCCAAGTGCTCAGTAAGTGCTGGCGGTTACTATCACTCAGGCCGAGCACAGAGAAGCATGATACACAATAGAGCTCGTTCTACCTCCTGAGACACAAACCGTCCCATAAAAATCCTACAGGTATTTCAGTAATTCCAAACATCATTATAACAATCACTGCAAATAAACTAAGGATAATTTTAAAAAAACTGATTACAATCTGGTGAGTGTTTTAAAGCTTGGATATTTGCACAGGCTATTTTTTAAAAGAGGAGACTGAAACAAGTCATTCACTCAGTCAACAACACACAGTTAAGTGGTTCAGATTATAGAGCGCCTGAAGGTGAAGAAGCTTCTGGGAAACACCCCCGAGCTATCTATCCAGGGAACCTTCTTTTCCCAACATGGGGGCAGCTGAGACTAGGAAAATCATAGGCTGGACGTGACACCTCTTCTAATGAAGCTTCTTCCATCCCAAGTAACAGGTCATTAAAGTGGGATGGAATCTGTAGAAAAGCTAAAATCACTGTCTTTACTGATCAAGAACGTAAATGACCTGAGGTGTCACATGAGGGTCCCCATCTTCAGGGGCTGGAGTGGGGAAGACTGGTTAAGAGCAGGGGGCCTTGTTCAATGTCCTTGCTCTGCCTCTAGCTTAGTCCTGTAGAATCTTGGGAACGTAATTCTCTGTCTTCAGATAAAATGAATCATAATTCTTAAATTCCTACCTTTGAATGATACCATGAAGATAAAGAAAAACATAAACTAATTCAATTTCCTCTTAATGTAGGTACTGAATAAATATAAAATATTCTTTCCAAGGCCAGAATGGCATTTTGGCTTTATACTGAGTTGGACATGCTTCACACTCTTTTCTGTTTTGAGTTTTCTATAAGAGAAGCTAAAGGCAAACCACATCAGGCTCGTGGGTGATCCAGAGCCGGGGGCGGGGCCGGAGGCTGGAGACCTGCGCTCCGGAGGCAGAGGTTCATGAGCAGAGCAACCGAGTACTCCAGCGTGTAGTCAGACAGGCAGTCAGGCTCCTTCAGGATGTCAATCAGCCAGAAGATGAGGCCGTCTTGAATCATCGCTGTCTGCAGCGCACGCCTAGGATGAAACAGCCTACAGGTAATTAAAGCTGACAAGAATCCGTTTATGTAAGAGTACATGGTAACGTGAGTGCATAACAGAAAAGACACTTCACAAAAGCTAGACTCTGAGGAATACAGACTCTACACAATTGAAACAGCAACAATGAACTCTTTACTTTTCCAGGATATTATTAAGGGTTTAAAAAAAATAAGGCAGTAGGAAGACTTCCTATTTTGAATGTTTCCTTTTCAATATTTAGAATTAGCAGAGTATTACTTCAAATATTTAATATATTTATTGATAGCTTTTGGTCTCCTTAACCCAGGAAACAGAGTCATAGAAATAGTTCATTAACAAACAGTATTTTATCTTAAGTCTAATCTATTAGGCACCTTGAGCTATGTAAAAATGAAGAAATATGAAAAAGAAGAGCATGAAGTCGGCTAAATACCATTTTGATTCAGATCTCGATAGACAGGGTAGTTTAATAACCTGGGTAATACAATCTACATGGGATTATTTTTCCACCCAAAGTCCAGGTGTAAAATCTTACAAAATCCAATGCCTCATCATAATGTGTTATGGTGAATGTCATCATGTCAGCCTTAAGAACTGATGAGACAAAGCATCGTATCAGCATGAGAAACCATCTGAATTCTTTGAAAATTCAAGCACCACAGTGGAACCACTATTGTGCATCTCTTGCTTAACAGGTGATGGTAAAACTTCCACCTGTGGCAGTATCTGTTCATGCTCTTCCTAAACACTACATCCACCCACTCAGAGCAATTTATCAGAATACAATGAAGATTGTGCTCGTCCAGTAAGACTAGCTACTTTCTACATTCGTCATAGAGGCCCTGGAAGACTGCAAAAACATTAGGCACATTTCCAGAACAGAAAACCTTAAATTACCATTAGAAAAAAAAGAAAAAATTGGCAGTAAATGCCTGCATTACTAGGCAGAAATATTTCTTCATCATATCTTATGTTACTTAACTACAGTTATTGTATTTCTAAAATTTTTCCAAGTACAGTCAACATCAAGCTAAATTATCTTTATAAATAGAAATAAGAAGGAAGTAGGGGGGAGAGCATAGCTCAGTGGTAGATGCACAAGGTCCTAGGTTCAATCCCCAGCACCTCCATTAAATAAATAAACAAACAAACAAACCTAATCACCTCTCCCCACAAAAAATAAAATCAAAATTAAAAAAAAAGAAGGAGGTGATAATTCTGGATATTATCTGGATATCTGGATTTTCAATTCATATAGTTAGAACAAGACATTTTCATCAGTAGGGACCTGGCACATAGTAGGAACTACATTCCTACAGCTTTCCCCTACTAAACAAAAACACTTAGAATATGTCTCTTTTCAGGCTTTAGGTTATTAGTGAGAGTCAGTCAAATGTTAACCACACCTGATGGGAAGAAAGTGTGTTCACAGGAGGACTGACAGAAAAAGTCAAGAACTCATGGCACTAAAATTCTTAATAGTCAAAAAGAAAGTGAGGTGGTTATGATGGAATACAGATGCTGGAAGAATTAGCATATAACCCAGCAATTCCACTCCTAGATACCTGCCCAGCAGAGAAGAAAACATATGTCCACACAAAGACTCGTATATAAATGTTCATAGCAGCTTCCACACAATGGCCACAAAGTGCAAACAACTGAGATGTCTATCAACTGATGAAGTGATAATGAAATGTGGTCTAAACATATAATGGAATGTTACTCGGCCACACAAAGGACAAAGTACTGATACATGCTACGTGTGTGAACCACAGAAACATTACACCAAGACAAAGAAGCCAGTCACAAAAGAACACAGCAGTACAGGTAATTCTACAGGAAATTGACAGTACAGGTAAATCCACCCAGAGCAAGGGGTAAGGATAAAAAGCGACTGTAAGTAGATATGAAGTTCCTTTAAGTGGTGATGGAAATGTTCTAAAATTAGACGTGGTGATAGTTGTACAGCTCTGTAAACATAGAAAAATCACTGACGTAAAGCTCTGGGAGGACATCAGATCTGGTTTGAGAAGAGGTGTCTGATTTTTAGATGTCTGAGGTGGAACAGTTCCAAGTCATGACTGGGTCCAGACTGAGACTACAGGGCAGGTGGCTGAGATATATGGTCGAGGATCCAGGAGGCTCCACCCGGACCTCCACAGAACCACCTACCCCACCGGCCATGCCTGCGCGTCTATGAGCACGTCTCCCTCAAGAGCTGTGAACAACTTGCAGGCTGAGGATCTAATGGGTTTTATTCATGTGCTTATCTTTAAAACTGGCACATGACTTGAGACACAATCTGGTGTCTAGCACCTGGTCAGCCCGAGATAATGTTCTTAGGAGAATACAATGGTGCTTTAAGAATGTCCACCTCCACCTGCAGCAGCCAAGAGCAAGATTTTGTGGATTTTTTGTTTTGTGGATTAGAGATACGCTTTCTGGCTCCATTTTGGAAAGTCACCCAACCTCTTCTAAGTATTCACTGAAAAATATCATCTGCCTGTTGGATTGTCACAGGGACCAAATAAGTGCAAAATAGTGGCTTGAAAACTCCACTCTGGTTTCACAGGAGCCACCATAACCTGCTGCACGGTCAGCACCTGAGGCTGAACTTCTGCAAGGCCCCCAGCACGTTCTCCCGGGTGATGGCATCCTTGTCCTCCTCCTTCAGCCTTTCCTCCAGCATCCGCAGCACCTTTGTGCTCTGGGCAAGGTAGAGGCGACCTAGTGATATAACCAGAGATGAACAAGTGAGAGAATTGATCTTGCGTTAAGTTCATGCTCCAAAACCCCTGTATACAAAAATTTTGCATGTAACACATGTAGAGTTTGGGTAATTTAATGTTCTAAAAAAATTATTAAAGGGTATTTCATCTGCAAGTTGGTTTTATTGACTCACCTATCTAATGAAGAGAAAATCACTTTTCTTGTCACCTAAACATGAGTCCTCACTGAGTTCTTGTGGGGAGTGATGTCTTTTAGTTACCTGAAATCTTAAACCCAAAAGCCAGATCATGAGGGAAAGGAGGGTGAGGAATCTGTGTGTCATGAGCCCCTTAGTCTTAACACAGAGGCAGCCAAGCAGTGCTTTCTGGACACACCCATGGCCTGGAGAAGAAGGAGGAAACATACCTGGAACCCTATTATAAGCCTTGAATTGTCACAAGACTGTTGTGGACTTGTATCTCGATACATTTATTTCAGACGGAACTGTCAACATTATTATATAAATGGTCCTTGGCACATACCCTGGCTTATCATAAATGTACATGGATGGAAGAACAAAGGAATGAATGAAAAAACTTTTGGAGTATCACACAGTTGCAATTTGAGAACTCCCTTTATTCATGTTAAAAAGAGTTCAAACAAATTAGAATTTATGGATGATAATGGCATTTTGTAAAATCACTTTGAATTCAGTTATGGTGGCACGTTATTTTTGAAATTTTCAAATCCTCTTGATTTAAAAGGTTTAGTCTTTTGAAGGAAATGGTACAGTGCTTATTGGGATCAGCTTTAATTATTTCACCAACCTTATTTTGCCTTAAGAGGAAAATGACAGAAAATGCATTACCCATTATCTTGAAAGCAGTCTAAAAAGTACTATGTTACAAAACCAACAAGCTCACAAAATAAAATAAAACCAGAGGCTTGCAAAATAAACTCCAAAGCCATCAAAATTTGCTCTGACATAAATCCAGAGATATGACAATAACTAATTTTTCACAAAAGACTTTAGATGCATTAAACAATAACAAACTGAGGAAACACGTCATCTCTAAGAAACTTAGGGAAGAATGTCCATTTTCTTTTTTTAAATAATTTTAATGAAAATTATATCAAACTTTTATTATTAGTGCTTTAAAAAAATTTTTTTAATGGAGGTACTGGGGATTGAACTTTGAATACATGATCTCTACCACTGAACTATTACCACCTGCGCTCCCCCAACCAAGAATGTCCATTTTCACAGGGAAAAACACATCCATAAGACCTAGCTCTTCTCTTTGAAGGAAGGCTGGCGTCTCACCTTCTGCCAGGGACGCGAACGCATTGATGAGCCTGGCCGTGTACTGCCGCACCACCTCACTCTTCGAGTGCAGCAGCTGAAGCACACTCCTCTGTGGGAAGACACATCAAAAGAGGAAAAATAATGAGGTTAAAGAAAAGTGAGAGAGAAGCCTATGTGCCCCCCGCGGACCTGCCGTTCTCTTCCTCTGTGTGTGTTTATTAGAGGGGAAATAAACAGACTAAAGCCAAACATTTCATCTGGAAGTCTTGATTTCCAATGGGTTTTTTTCTGAGGGCTGGCAAAGTTATTCAGTCTTCCAAATTAGGAGAAATAATCATACAAAGCATTTAGGACAGTGACTGACACAAGGAAGCAATACTGTTGGCTGTTACGGACGGTTCCTGATGCTTTTCCAGGTCAGAATGATTGAGCCAAGACGCCCATCTAATTCTGCTCCCTCCAAACCACAGTAAAACTACAGTAAGTGATGCTTAAGGGAGACATACATTCTCAAGGACAGAGAGGACATCCCAGGAAACTATAACTACACAATTCTGCAATCAGGAATGCAGGACAGTAACATACTGAGCAGACCCAAGCATGCCAAATGGGAAATGGGAAATTACCCAGTGTACATCGCTTAATCCTCAAAAGGCTCAAGGACTAGAGAAAAATCAAGAAGAATGAGTGAAAGCTGTTAAAGCAGCAGTCTGATGTCACTCATGCCACTCCTCCTGTGTCCCTCCCACCACACACTGGGAGCGCTCGCCTTTGAGGGCAACACGAAGGGTGTCTGGATGCGGGGCACGAGGCACAGATGAGCAGGGCTTCTACACCAAAACTGAGAGTGGGTGGTGCCTAAAAACACAATGAATGCTAAACAGAGAGCCACCCCCAGGACTTCTCCCCGTACCTGGATTCTGGAACTCTGGCAACCAGACCCTTACCCTCTAGGCAGGAGATCAGAAGATGCTTCTTGGAGGAAAATAACCAGCCTGAGGGAAAAGAACCAGAGCTCCTGAAATCGGAGGTTCCCAAAAGATGGCCTACCAGGATCACCCTCCATGGAGCTCTACGCCTACAGAACCTATCCTCACAGTCCGAACTTCCAATCAGCTTCAGTCCCCCCACATTAGGAGATGACCAAGGTCTACCAGGAACTCAACGGAAGTTTCCAATATGGAAAATAAGGCCAAAACAAATGGGGCAGGGCAGAGAAGCAACTTGGAGGAAATGAGACTGTGCAGGGAGAAGAAAACTAAAAATAAACATTTGTCACTAGTATCCTCAGAGGTGTAAGAAGCGATATCGTACCCATGACACAGCAGGATGCTATTTAAAAAGGAGACGGAAAACTGAACAGAAGGGTTGGAAAATAAAGATGAGGAAATGTCCCAGAAAGTGGAACAAAGAGAAAAACACGGAAAACATGGAAAACATGAGGGAAAAGTAAGAAACTTAAAGAGCCAACTTAGGAGGGCCAACATTCATGAAGAGAAAACCGAGAGAGGAAAATCATGAACAGAATAACTCAAGAAAAGTTCCCAGAACTAAAGCTGTCAGATTTAATGGGCTCACAGAGCATTCAGAACAATGAATCAAATACACCTCATGAAAGACATCAGTGGGAGACTCATTAACACTGGTGAAAAGAGAAGATTCAACATCTTTCTGGAGAGAGAAAAAAAAACAGGTCACATACAAAAGGTCAGGAATTAGAGAGGCTTAGGACTTTTCAACAGCAACACTGGAACCTAAAAGACAATGAAGCAATATCTTCAAAAGTCTGAAGGAAAATTACTTATAACCCAGAGTTCTATACAAATAATAAAGATATTTTCAGACATACACAGTCTTGAAAAATATACTCCCCATCCATTCTTTCTCCAGAAGCTATTAACTAAAGAATGTGCTCCACCAAAAAGACAACAGAGAATACTAGAAAGAGCCAATTCAGGAGAGGGGTGATAGGAATCTACAGCCATTTGGTGATGAGAGATTTCTGGAAGGCAGCTGTGCACCAGATGCAGAGAGCCACAGTGCAGACTGAACCGAGCTGCCTCAAGAGAGGGACGCACTGAAGGGGCCTGCGCTGATGGTGCAGGGTGCCTACTGCCACTGCACCATCTTTATTTAGGAAAAATTTTTATTGAAATATAACATCCATACAGAAAACCACACAGATCATATGTGTACAGACTGATGAGTCTTCACCAAGGGGACATGTGAGTAACCCACAACCAGGTCAAGAAACAGAACTTGACCAGACCGCCAGATGCCCCTCTGGGGTCCCTTTCAAAGCAAGGACAACATCTCTCCTAGCTTCTAACATCATACGTTAGTTCTGGTTTTGAAATTTTTAACAAATAAAATCATGCAGTTGGTATTCTTTCACGTCTGACTTTTTCATTCAGTATTACGTTTGCGTGACTCATCCATGTTGTGTGTCTCTTCCCATCGCTTGGTATGTCCCACTTTACAGATATATCACAGCTAATTTATCCATTCAGTTCTTGATAGACACTTGAGTTATAGCCAATGTTTTGGTTCTTATAAGCAGTGCTGCTGTGAATATTCCTGCACATCTTTTAGTGAACATATGGACACATTTCTATTGGGGTCATACTTAGGAGTGGTTCTGCTAGAACATAAACTATGCAGTTTTAACAAACACTGCCAGGGTTCCAAAGCAGTGCCCGAGTAACATATATTCAAACAGAGTACAAAATACCTGGGTAAGGTGAGCTGAGCTCAGACTCACCTGTACTTGGATACCCTTGCCCATGTGCTGATGGAGTTCCAGCTCCCCCTTCCACATCCTGATGTGTGCATCAGCTGTGGACAGTCTTTCCACCCCACAGAAGTGTTCTCATGTGATCAACTCCTGAGAACTAGAAGTAGACCAGGCGAGCTTAAAAACCAAAATGACAGAGCAGCTCACCATTCCTCTTGGCCATAAATATTGCTGCCGGATAAACAGTACCTGGTCAACCTTTCAGCCCTGCCAGACGTCCTGCACTTTCCAGGACACTCTCCTGACCTTGACTACCAATGTCCCCAAAGGGGACCAGTAAGAGCCCAGGGAAGTTATGCCTGATTATAATCCAGCGATTTTGTTCATGTCATCTTTCCCCGAATGCCTTCACCTAATGTGGGAACAGTACCCTTTCCCTGCAGAGCAAGGTTTGTACTTGCTACTCAGCAAACCCCAAATCAAACACTATATTATTCAGGGTACATATACAAATGGGGACCCTATAAAGAAAAGCACGGAGTCAGGGAGGGTATAGCTCAGTGGTAGAGCGCGTGCTTAGCATGCACAAGGTCCTGGGTTCAATCCCCAGCACCACCATTAAAAACAAATATATAAATACATAAACCTAATTACCCCCCCCAAAAGAAATGCATGTAACAAATGAAGACAAAAGTCAAGATGCTATACCCATGTTCGATGCAGCATTATTCACAACAGCCAAAAGATAAAGGCAACTCAAGTGTCCATTGATGGATGAATGGATAAACAAAATGGGGGGTTGTATTATGAAATATTATTCATCCTTAAAAAGGAAGAAAATTCTGACACATGCCACAACATAGATGAGCTCTGAGGACATGATGTTAAGTGAAATAAGCCCAGTTATCTAGGTATCTAGGGTGGTCAAATTCAGAGAAACAGAAAGGATGGTGGCTGCCAGGGGCTAGGGGAAGGGGAATGAGGAGTTTTTGCTTAACGAGTACAGAGTTTCAGTTTTGTGAGATAAAAAGACTTCTGGAGATCATGGTGCACAGAAACATGCGTAGACCCAGCATGACTGAACTGTACATTAAACATGGTTAAGATGGTAAATTTCATATTATGTTTATCTTGCCACAATGTTTTAAAAAGTTCGGATGGTGTGTAACTTTTGATGGAAGGACAGGGGTGCAATCTAGTAGCCTCCAAGTTACTGGAGTTTCTATCTCTTAATCTGAGTGGTGGAAACATTGGTATTTTTTTATTTATTATTATTCTTTAAACTGTTCACACATGTACACTCATCTGTGTGAATGATATATTTCACAACTGAAAACATGATTCTGAAAAATAAGACAAAATTCCTTTGATTTAAGGAACCGTTCTTTTCATAAATGCATATATCATGCTAGATAGGTAAAACTGTCAAATGTGGAAAATTTGACATCATAGCACCTCCAGCAACATGAAACATAGTGGAATGACTTCAAAATCAGCTAAAAATGAAAAACTCAGTTATTTGCAATTTGATTAGATTTGATTCGTTTCAAGGTTTTTTGTTTTGGGTTTTTTTTTTTTTTGTCTAGAACAGTGATTCTCAAAACATGGTCTGGGACCAGTAGCATCAGCATCACCTGAAAGCATGTCGGAAATGCAAATCCACAGGCCCCATCCCAGACCTGCTGACTGGAAACTGCAGGTGGGGCCTGGTAATCTGTTTCGCCAGCTCTCCAGGTGGTAATATCGAACACTAAACTCTGAGAACCACTCAGCCAGACGAACAATTAGTTCAACTTCCAGACTGAAAGGGCCAGTTTGTTTTGGTGTCATGGGGACATGGCATCCACGTTACCCAAGGAGTTTAGTTTTCCTTCTTTGTAGATTCTCAGACATCTTACAATAATTCCAGCCCACTCCTTACTAACAAAAATAATAATAAATAAACCTTAGCAATTAAAAATAATGACTTGAGGAAGAAATGACATCTTCAATGGCTATAAAGATCACGGCATTTTGACAAATATCATATATCACAAAACCAAAGACACTTTTCATTAGAGGACACATTATTTTTTATATACAACCAAGAAAGGAAAAAGCAATTAAACTATAAACTGCCAATTCAACTCTAACAGGCCATCGATTATTAGATATACTCCAGTTTCACAGGTGCTAAAACGCAGGGGTGGGGACTGGATCTTAGACTCAGTGAAATATGATCATTCAGAAAGAATCAGTATTAAATTTACTCTTTGAATTTGAATATGTAAGTCCTGACAGTATATTATTCAGCTGCTTCATGGTTGGTCTCAATGCCATTACAAATACAAACCAAAAAAAAGTAAAAGAAAGTAAGTCAAGAATCTGAGAGACTATTTTTCATACTTAACTCTTCCATGGGAACAATAAGACTATGTACAAAGAATAAGCTCAAAGCCCTGAAACGTTGTCTCCTGTGCGCACAGCAGATTACACATAATGAGCTTTCACGGGGGAGCTGTTTCATGAGCAATCATAAGAGGTATGGATACTCCAGTCAGTGCACACACTGTGAAGCTTGATAATAGGGAGGTGATGTTTTTAGAGCATTTTGGATAAACGGTCAGCTGAAATAATGAGATGCAGTATCCTCTTTATTTAGGCCATGTTCAAGTTCTGGATCCTCCTCTGGTCTGATAACAGGTGCCAAGAACAGGTAAGAGAGGTGGGGTGTAGGGAGAACCACCACGCCTGGACTTCTCTGTGCTGGGCCCCTGGCTAAGTACTGCCCACACGTAACCACGTGACAACCCCAACAACCTCCTGAGGCAGGATGGCCCCTTCTCAGATGTGGGGAAGCCCCCTTAGACTGAGAAACTTGCTTCAGGTTGTCTGGCCAAGAGGTGGCAGGGCAGAGATCTGACACCTCCAAATCCCAAGCATTTCACATTGCATCAGTAGACCTGTCTGGTCCAAAGCTACATACAAATAGTGTTGACATTTTTTAAGGCAGGCCCAGAAGAAGAAACAAACAAACAAAACGAATCTGCTTACCTACCTTGCCCATCATAAGTCATATTGAGTTTTCAGGACACATGGTAAGCAGTAGGGTGAGGGAAAGAGTTGGGAACTTGAGAAAAGGAAAAATGGCACAAAAGAGCTCCAGAGCTGAATCAAGCAGCACTCTGCATGAGAAGTGAAAAGTGGGCCCAAGTCCAGGGTCAACAGCATCCGGTCACGGTACTGAAGATACGCGTAAAAATGAATGCATTCCCTTCTCAGATCCTCCCCTCGAAATGAAGGCCCTGGCTGGATGCTGGCCCAGCTCTCACCGACCTGGCTGCGGCTCTGACAGTCCAAGAGGTCATTGCTGATGTAGGCTTGCAGAACGGTCTCTCTCTGCTCTCCAGGGTGGGATGTGGTCAAGCGCTAGAAAGAAGAAAAACAAGAGCAACAAGATGCAAGTGTGAACGTGGAGACGAATGTTCCCACAGTTGGTATGTGTTAACGGGCAGTGCCAGCAACTATGCCTTTCAATCCAACAAGATGAACAGTACCCAGCTGGGAGCTAGTCAACCAGCCAACAAGTCAATTAACGAGAAATTACAATGTACTTCCTAATGGGTGATGTAGGAGTCGATTTACACACATGAAATCTCCAGAGCAGTGAAGTGGAAAAGGGCTGGATTGTTAAGTGAGCAGATAAGGGAGGGCTCGCCAATGCCTGGAGAGGGTTTTTATTTTTTTTGCAGGAAGTGGCTCAAGAGCTGGTTCCTGAAGGATGAACAGACTGTTAGGCAGCACAGGGGGTGTGAGAGTGGGGAGGGAGTGGGACGTGCAGTCCAGCTCAGGCAGGTGTGAAATACAGGATGCACTCATGGGGCCCTCAGTGAGGGGAGGACAGGGCAGGCTGTGAGGGCCGTGAGCAAGGGCCATGCCCACAAGCAGACTTGACCCTACAGGGACTGCCACAGCAGTACTGTGACACTGTACACACACGTGTGTGCTTGTGTGTGTGTGCGGGGGTGTGCAGCTGAGTAGAATTTTGTAGACATTGAAAAGCTGTAAGTTTGTTGTGTTGTTTTAAGTAAGAATTTACTTAATGTCCATCGGGCTGTAGGAAAAATGTTTCGTGGAGAGCATGTGAAATGTGTGTGTGTTTGTGCACCTGAGAAAGCCGTGTGACTACTGTGAGCAAACGTCCTTGTGCAGGTTGTCCAGGACAGCCTTGCTAGACAAAGCTCCCTGAGACTGCAGGCGAGGAGCAGCGGGACGGGTAAAGAACGGGGATGGGAAGATGGGAAGAGCCGCAGACCACCTGGAGGCAGGTGTCACTGAGGGACCGGACCCCCGTGGCCCACGAGGGAGGTCCTGAGGGAAGAAAGGACTACATTAAAGGAGGGTGGTACCAGGAGGGTCACATCTGGGGGCTGCTGTTGAGTTTGGAGGCTACTGCTGGACTGGGGTGGAGTGGAGGCTCTGGAGGAGTCTCAGACAGAATCATAAAGATCTGTTTATTTTCCTGGTTGTTCTGACAATGCCATTCACTCAGCAAAGGAATAAATACCCTGTCTCACCAAGAGTACAATGGACTGACAGCAAGTGCCGGGTGGATAATCTAAGAACCAAAGGAAGGATGGGTTTGGTAACTTGAGCAGAGAGGCAAACGTCCAGTGCAGGGCGGCCCCTAGGGAGTCCTCCTGCCGCCCCACGCGCTCCAGTCAACTGGCGCGAACAAATCCGGAGCGACACCACTGACTGGCCACGGGACCCTTTCCGCCGGTCCTGAGTGCACCCTCAGAGCACTCCTCCAGACCCGCCCCCCGGAAGCACTAGCAGCCGTCAGAAGTGCAAGGGAGGAGAGCTTTTTCAATCCGGTGATGGAGAAATCATTCAGAAGCATCTGATGTCAAGATGCCCTCAGGTCTGGGATCCATGAGAGAGTCTGACAGTGCTGCAAGCGAATAAGAACAGATGTCCAGCTAAAGCGTGAACCAGTGTTGGCGTAACCAGCAGTTCTAAAGTGTGTTCGGGGGAACCCCGAGGGGCTTCAGAGCCCCTTCCGGGGGTCTACAAGGTCACAGTTATTTTCATAATAGTACTAAGATATGTTTTTCTTTTCAATGATCTACCTCTCAGAGGCTATATGAAGTGTGATACCATGATAAATTGAATGTAGAAGCAGAGATGAGAATCCAGCTGTCCTCCATTAAGCCAGATATTAAAGAAATTTATTTTAAAAATTTATAAAAATGAGAAAATAAAAAATTAAAGAAAAAATGTTTTAAAGAAATTTACAAAAATGTAAGACAACGTCAGTCTTATTAATTTTCTTTTTGGTTTGGAAAATAGTTACTTTTTATAAAAAATACGTTATGTCCTTGGTTTTTTATTGTTCATCATAAGTGAATTAATAAGTATGTATTTTACATTTTCTGAGTTTTAATTTGCAGCACTGTAAATTTTGGTAGATAAAATTCACAGAAACAAAAGCTCTTTGGGTTCCTCGGTATTTTTGACAGTGTAAAGGGGTCTGAGACCAAAAAGCTTGAGAACCACAGGCTTAACTGTGATCACTCTGAACACTGGGGAGAAAAGCAACCATTTAGACTGGGCTTTATTTTCCTTAAAGACTTGTTAATAGGTTTTTGCCCTTGATGCCTGCTCCTGTGCCCGCCTGGTGACTCCTCAACTTGGACGGAGGTCTCTGCGGAGATGCAGTGTGAGAATGAGTCCATGCTCTGACACGCCGACACCTCCCAGCTGCGAGTGTGGCTCAGGACCAGGAAAGGGCCAGACAGGGGGCACCTCTGGGGCCTTGAAACTGCATATATCAAAGGCGATGGCAACCATAACGTCAAGGAGTTTTTAAAGAGACCACAGCGATCTTCGGAAGCTGCTTTTAACTTTAGCTCTTGGCGTCATCAGGTAGCAGGAAGAAAGAGTTTGAGAAGATGTGTTGAAAGATACAAGCAAGGTAACCAGCCAAGAAAACCGGCTTTTTTTTTTTTTTAACTTCAACAAAAAAATGTACGTACCCAGCGCAGAGCCTGCAACAAGAAGGCTTTCAAGCGGTCACTCCCCAGAATCAAATCCTTCTTCAGTTTCTCATAATCCAAGGAGGGCAGTAATGGGACATCCTTCAATTTCCTACTCAGCAACACAAGTCCAAAGAGAAAGAAAAGGGCAGAAGGGCATGTTCACTACATCTCCTGAGTATCATGTCGCCCCATCTAGACCTGCTCGGACGGGCTGAATGGGCAGTGGCCCACTGCCCTCTGTGCTCCTAACTCCAGGCCTCCATGCAGAGGGCTGGGTTCCAGGCTCCCCACCCCAGCTGCAACGAGCTCAGCTCAACCCCTTCTGTTGCATGGACTAAGGGTGATACAGCGGTTTTCCTAAAACGAGGAGTCTCTGCCTAAACGGGTTTAGAAAGCACCACATTCACATTAGGCCGGGGCACCACAGACGGGGATGAAATCATCTTGGAGGCATCATAACTTTCCACCAAAGTTCTATTTAGAATCCTGAGCAAAGCCCAAAGCCTATTAGTGTCAGCAGGCCCCTAGTGTCCTCCCTAAGGACCCGAAGCCACTGTCCCTCTCAAACCTGAGGGACCGGCCTGAGGGAATGTGAGAGACAGACCGGCAGTCAGGAAACACTGTGAGCAGGAGCTGCACCATCGACCCTGCAGCAGGTAGAGGGTGTGGGCAGGAAGCAGCAGCGGGGACAGGCCTGTGAGACGGGGAGTGAGTTGAACAATTTACAAACCTTCCTTGAGAGGACTGCAGGTCAAAGGCCTCAGCGGAAGGCGGGTTTCAAATAAGAGAGATCTCTGTTCAAAGATCTACACTCTGCAGATGACCCAACACCCACTTCTGGTTGTCCAGGTACAAGGACAACCACCTCGGATGCCTTGTCCTGAAACAAGTGTCTTCACATTTTGTTTGCTGTTTTGTAGAACAGAAGGAGATTGGAGTGTGCGGAAAAAACAATGAAAACTGAAAGAGGTCTGTGCTGTCTCAATGCTAATGTCCTCGTTTTGATGTTGCATTACAGTCATGTAAGATGTCACCGCTGGGGAGGCTGGGTGGCCTGACTTCCTGTGAATCTATAATTATTTCAAAATTAAAAAACTAAACAAAATATGATTCTCCCAATATTGTGCTGAGAATATTACTACTCTCTGTACAATATTAAATGAGGATTCATGAAGAATTGAGTGAAAAGACTAAAGATGTTTTTAAGGGTGGAATTAAACTGAGGTAATACCTCTGGGAGGTAGGATTTGGGATTCCTTAAATTTCCTTCTTCGTATCTTCCTAAAGATTCAAGTTTTCTATCATGAGCATATACAACTTACATCATTATAGGGGAAAAGTTATATGCTAGTTTTCAAAATGTTACTGTTTAGAAGACAAGATGAGATCCTCTTACAGGGCCGGGAAGAAAAAGCTAGAAAAGAGGGCATCGAACGAGGTCTCAGTAAACACTTCTGGGGAGGAGAGTCTTCTATCTTATACAGCAAATGGTAGACTCCTGTACATGACATATTGATTATTTTGACTATTTTTTCCTGAGGCAGATACTATTGTGAGTTTAAAAATTAATACAGATAACTTAAAAATTCCAGTTATAAATAACTGGCCCGTATTCTTCAAAAGCATCAAGGCGTAGAAAGACAAAGACTGAAGAATGATTTCAAATGAAAGGAAACTTAAGATGTGACAAGACTAACATGTGATCCTGGACTGAATCCTGGACCAGAGAAAGGACGTAGGGAATAACTGGTAAAACGTGAATAAGGTCTGTAGGTTAGATGACAGTGCTGTTTCAGAGTCAATTTTCTGGTTTTGATAACGGCACTGGGCTTGTGTAAGACAGTAACACTGGGGAGTCTGGGTGAAGGGTATATGGGAATTCTGTGTACTCTTTTTACAACTCTAAGATTATCTCAAAGTGAAAACTTTTTTAAAATTTAACATTCAAACAGGCTCTTTTTCTAGATCAAAGAAGTTCCATTTGTAAAGCCATTTTTGAACATGGGCTATAGCTGGGGCGCTTCTATTGGAAGGAAGAAAACCTGTCATAATTGGGCCACATTCACTTGCCAATAATGGCAATACTACCAGCTAAGCAGCTCAGCAACCCCGCACTTCAGTGGTCCAGCCACTCTCCCACTGTCCAAGAAGCCTGGGCCATGCCTTCTCATCCTCTTAACCCCCGCTACCAACCGCCCCCCTTCACTCTCTGCAGGTCGCTTTGCCTTGCCGCACTTTTATCACTGGGAATACATTTACCGGAGAGTTTACTACGTTCCCAACACTGTACTAAGTGCTTTAAACATACTGCCTTATTTTTAGCCTCACAACAATTCTATAATAGAGTTACTGTTATTATTCTCATTTTACAAGGAAGGAAACTGAGGCACAGAGAAGTTATAAGAAGTGGTCCAAGTCACAGAGCTGGTGGCAGAGGTGGGGTTTTAACCCTGGCAGTCTGCGCTCACCAGCACTGCATTACACGGCCACCATCCAAAGAGAACGAGGTGCAGGGTCAATGTCACACTCGGGCAGGACCGAGGGAGGAGGAACGTTGTATCTACTGCAGGTGCTGAGTGATCTCACAGGACCCCCCGCCCTCCCCTCCACCCAAGGCTGGCAAGAGTCACTAGAACCCACCCTAGTCCTATGTCCACACCAAAGGTTCTCAATTCCCTTGCTACTGCCTGACAAAGTTCCTATGCATCAGATACCTGCGTGAGTGACGACCTAACTGACTTGGAGAGGAATACTCGAGCAGACACCAAGCTACCCTGTAGCCTTGGTCATTATGTGAATCAGCAGAGAACATAAAATGTAGACACTTTAACCCTCTGTTGACTGCCCTTTGACAGGAGATTATATTGATTTCTGCATAATGTTATAGAAACAATTCAACAATTTTTTCCATTTGATGCTACTTAACCAACATAACAGAATTAACATTAAAAGACACTTCTAGTATTACTTATAATTACTGGTATTTCCTTTAATATCCAATATAGCTCTAGCTAATCAAAGAAATTCACTAAGCAAGGCGATTAAGATGAGCATTTCTTAAAGCTACTTTGAATTTCAGTTTTACCCATAACTATTCTCTTTAATAACAGCTCCTAAGAGCAGTTACTTACACGGGTGCCAAGGAGGCTCTTAACATGGTTGAAGCCTGAGGAGGAAGGGGAGAGAAGAAAATAGACTGTGTTAAACATTGACAGCAATGCATTAATCCCTAATCACTGTAATGGCACAAAACCAACAGATCTGCAAAGTTTTTCATCCACCAGGATTCTCCAACCATAATCATATATGATTTAAAAATTAGCCCAAGCTCCAGTTAAGTAATACCTTCCTGATGCATTTCCCAAGCCACCCACCCTTGGCCTCTTGCTACTCCACTGCAAGGAGCACTCTATAAAAAGATGGGTGGGTTCGCCCTGACCAAATTCCCAGAGGAACTCAGAGCTGCCTAGTCAAAGGCATCACAAAGAACAAAAGCAATGAAGCCCAGTTTATTATCTTGATTTTCTTTTTTATTAAGATTTTATCTTTGAGTATAAAAATAACACATGCACTTTGTACCAAGTCAAACACTAGAGGTGTTTATAGAAAAAATTCACAATCCCCCTTCTACCCCACGCCCCTTTAATCCTGCCTATAGGCCAAATCATTGCCTACTTTGTGGGCATTCACACTGCCCCGTTTATTGTTTTCTTGTATTGTTTTTGCCACTATGGGCAACGCAGTATTAAGCATGTACTAAAACAGAGAAACCACCAAACGCTGTGAATGGCACGTCTTTGGACCGACTCAAATCAATTGTAAAAGACATTTTGAGAAAATAAGGGAAATGTGAGTAAGGACAGCACTGGTACTACACGGCACTGAGGAATTAGTGTTAATTTTATTTGGCACTGTGGTTATGTTTCCTTCTTGTTTTTAAAGCCCTTATCTGTAAGCGATGTACATAGAATTATTTACAGGTAAAGTGGTATGTTCGGAATCACTCTAAGAGAACTCCAGGAAAAACCAAGTAGAAGAGAAGAGAGGCAGTGGTCCTTGGTCCCCTCTGTCACCACAACCCTTGAATGAAACATTATCCATGCTTATCATATTGAGCTGTAATCATTTTGTAACCATTTCTGTGTCTTTTTCCTTCAGCAGACACTGAGTTCCACAGGAGCTGGAGAGAGATCCCCCATGAGTCCCCAGCACCTGGTATAGTGCCTGGGCACACAGAAGCACTCAATCAACATTTGCTGAATGAATGAATGCAAGCTGACTTCCAAAAGTGGGCACTCTAGAATCCTTGACTGATTTAATAAATAAATGTAATAAACTGGCCCTGTTCTCAATTGCTTCCCTTTGCAGTATTTACAGATCCCCAGACTCTTACCTCAGAGACAGCAAACTCCATTTTTACAAGGCTCATGACCATGTATTTTAAAAATATTTTTTAACCCTTGATTTTCTTTTAAGTAAAGGAACTACCTATTATTCCTGTTATTGGCTTACATAGCAAGGAGTTCAGAAAATAAGTTGGAGATGTCATCTAGATTACTCATCTAACACATTAAGGGGATCAAGAAGCCAGTAATGAGTCAAATAAGGACATGGCCATGTTAAAATGTTAGCATAATCCATACACAAATGAAAAAAATTAAATTAGTGATATTGGATAATTATTTCCACTAGTAAAATCCATTTATATATACCTCCCTTTTTTCATAGTTAAGAAAACGTTTTCTATCTTTTAAAACATCAGTTCTTTTTTGCTAAATTCAGTATCATTCTATTTGCCCTGTAAAGAAATTACTTGAAAAGCAGTAATAGCTGATCCTTTTATGAGAAGAGCAGGAATGTTAAACATAATTGAGACTTCATTACCGAATCAAGTTAAAAAGAAAAAAAAAGCTGGTGATGAGCTGTGGGAAGAATGAATGGCCCAGCGTGCTTTTAATGAGAGAGGAGGCTGTGGTATTTCATTCAGTAAGTACTTGCTGAATGCCTACTACCTGCCTCGTTTCTGCTGGGCACTGTTGATACTCTGTGAACAAAGCAAAAACCCTCTTCTCAGAGAGTTTGCAATCCAACGGGGAGAATCAACGGTCAGATAACTCTCTGTGCTGCAAGTGGGCGGCAATACTAGTACCAGCGGGCACAGATGCCAATGAGAGCACATGACAGGGATGCTAGAGCTAAGAAGTACTAAGCTTACGTCATGAAGTGGAAGTTGACCTTAACATTGACACTTGGGTATAAACTTGCACGTAGAATGGAGAACTCACAGCAGGCAGTAGCTACCTAACCATTAACGTGGAGGCGTTAATAAGAACACTTGAACACTAAGGAGGCTGCTCTGATCTGTGGACCAACCTTTACTTCAGACTATATTTCTAAAGGTCACTGCTACCACCAGTTTCTGGCACTGCTCTGTGTATGGGCAGGTGGACACGGTCTGGCCAAGGAAGAAAAGCCCCAGGAAGAAAAAGCTGGGAGAGGCTCCAAAACCATCAGTCAGTTGGAATAATTTTCCTCTCGAACTAACAGTGGATTTTGAGTATGAACGGATGAGCCCAGGGAGGATCCCCTTGTTAAGGAGCCCCTGACTGCAGCCCAGGTGGGTGCTGTGTGATGATTTGATGCTGGGCACTCAGGGAAAGGCCCCTAAGGCCCAGGGCACCAGAAGGAAGTGGTGGATGTGCGCGTGGACAGTGGTGGTTTCCCATCTGAGGAAGCATAGCCTGAACTTTCGGCAACCCCTTTAGGGTGCAGTTGGAGGACAGCGGAACAATGAATGTATTATCCCATCATTAGTCATTGAGCACACATGCGTACCAGGCTCCAGGCAAGGCTCCCTGGAACCCTTGGGCGTGGGAGAAATAAAATGCTCCCTAAGCCAAGTGAAAGAGCAGAATTGTGGTCCCATCACTTCTCAGCTACAGGTGAGAACTTGAGTCAGGCCCTCAGTGCTCATGGGGTGGGGGAGGAGTTTACCGGGGCCACATGAGCCTAGGACAGCTCTTGGTGACAACAGCAGGATGAGAGGCTTTGCTACCGATCCATGACATCAGGAAGTGTGTTAGAGCAACGGGTATGAGGTGTGACATGAGCAAAGTGACTGGAAGTTGGCTGGGGCAGACGAGGTTAAGCAGTCCTTTACTGCAGGGCTTCTCCAGGCGCTAGTGTGCTGCTGAGTGGCGTGAATCCCGGGATACAGCATGTCGCAAACCTCACATAAGTGGTTTGTTTGGGGACAGGGACATCCTGTGGGATGAGCTTTTAGACACGCACTTGGGAAAATGCTGCTCCACGTGACGGCCGCGGGTGTTTGAGGCCCCGGGAGGATCAGAAAGAAAGAGCTGCGACTCAGCACCAGCAGCGCCAGGGTGGCAGGAAGGCACGATGTGCGGTGCCGCAAACCTCCCCAGACCAGGGCAGACTCCCGGGCCCTGCTCACGCGGGCCGCACGCGGAACCAGGTGCGCATGCGCCGTGCCGGGGAGCAGGTGAACAGGGAAGGCGGGACCCCTTGGCAAGCGACCTCACGGGGAATGACCACCAGGAGAGGTTAAGTAACCACAGCGGGATTCGGAAGGAAATGCGTGCCAGCCACGGGACAGAGAGGCAACGGGAGCCGGAGGCCCAGAGGGGCATCCCCGCCAATGAAGCAGGGAGGCTGTGGGACCAACTCTGTAACACGAAGGGGGACTTGCACAACGAGGGTTGTGACTGCAGGAGGGGAAAACGGTGCGAATGCGATTTGGAAGTGGAGCTCAGTATGTGTGTGTGTGTTGGGGGGTGCCCCAATGTGCTGGCAAGTTCTACAGAAGCTTCCCAGGCAGGAGCCTCTCTGGCTCGCCAGGTCACTGAGGGCACCGCCTTGGCCGGGCTCCAGCACCCTGTAAGCTGCAGGCGTCTGAGAGCCTGGGGCTGGGCTGGGTGCACAGCAACGCGCACACCTGGGGGAATGCCGGGGGTTTGGGCACTGGGACTTCTTGGAGTTTCCGTGACCAGAGCCACGCCTGGAGAACAGATGAGCATCAGATCACGGAAGGCTGGGGACCTGACGCTGAGCACTTGGGACCAGAAGCAATGACAGGTATTAAGCAAGAGAGTAACATGATCAGATGTCCGTATGCACCCAAATGCTTCTTGAAACCTGAGGGTGTAAATGAATGAACAAGATACAACAAGAAAGGTCACTCCAGCTCCCATGTGAATGAGCCACCAGAAAGCTCAGAGCACTGAGACTGAGACCAGTTAGGAAATGTTGCCTTATACCAGGACACAAATAGGGAGAGCCTGAACAGACACAGAGCCACAAAGATGGGGCAGGAAGGAGGAAGCCCGTTCAGATCCCCACAGCTGCCAAAGCACAGGGCAAGGGAGAAAGAGCCTCGGGGGCCCCCTAGCGTTCCCTGGAGTGTCACTCATTGACCGAGAGAAATACAGGAGGGGAAGTCACCTGGCTGGAAGAAAAGATAAGCCCAGATTTGGACACAGAAAATGTGATGAGCCTGTCAGACACCTATGGAGAGAAGGCCAGCGAGTCTGGATTTGGAGGTCAGGGGAAAGGTCTGAGCTAATCGCATAGTCACCCTCTGCCAATCAATGTCCTACCGACTGGCTGAGATCGAATGTGTTCAATCCTCACCTCACCAGGGTCAGTTCAGGCACTGGTGTATGAGGTGCAGCAGGGAGAGGGAGCTAGGTGTGCAACCTGACACACAGAGCACTGGGCGCTGAAAGGCTGCCTCAAAATGCAGTGGCGAGGCAGGAAACGGGCAGCATCCTGCCAAGACAGAAGAGCACCTAAGGGAGAACGCGAGGGCTGAAGATGTTGAACTTCACCTGCAGAGCCACAGTCCACACAACAGGAAGCTTCAGGAAGCATCCTCCTTAGTGAAACAAGGTCAGAGCAAGGCCTGAGCAGCTGCACAGGCCGTCCCCCCAGAAGGGTCACCTCCACCGCCTCCATCATTACCTCCACCACCACAACCCCCAGTCCCCTACAGGTTTTTATTGCTAACAAAGATGATTGATTTTGGAAGTAGATGCTTCTAAGATTCACATGTCGTGGGCCTTTAAAATATTTAATGCAATCACACCTCAAAGTGTTATAACTTACATTTCCAATGGGGCCTACTTGGAGTTGCTGAAGAAAGGGAGGGTGAATTCCCAAATGAGCCATTTTCCCAATAAGAATGCATTTAAAAGGAAACTTTCCCATCCAGTAAATCCACAAATTCAGAGGTGCCACTGGGTGGGATGTGGGTCTCACCCAGGGGCTATGCTCAGATTTTTACCTTGAGTGTCTCTGCATTCATGCTTGCCCAGAGCAAACAAAGGGCTAAGACAGGGACTTACCACAGTGCTTTTAAATGCCATGTGCAGCATTAAGTTAAAAGAGACAGTTGCAGAAAGATGTGCGTAATAAAAATCTCAATTACACGTGCTTTTTAAAGGTCTAGAGGATACATACGAAACACAGTCAACAGTGTCACCTATGGAGGAAGGTGAGATGGGGTGAGTGTGGGGGAGGGAAGGGGTTTATGTTTTGCTCCATTTACTGCGAATTGTTATACATTTTCGAGCTAACACATACTCGTGTATTCCTTGTGTGACCTGAGAATACAAACAACTCTCCCTCTTGTGCCCTGAGGAAGAAGTTTCTCCTCTTACTACTTGTCACGAGATTCCTGATAATATAAAATCAGGTTCATCTCCTATCCCAGCAAATGACAGGCCCATGGTTTGGAATCTGATTGGGTAAGGACCAAACCTGGGGTCAGGGTGGCGACAGACAGTCAAGCTGGAAGAGGCCACCTGGCAGAGCTATCCTCTCAAAAATGTAATCCGTCATTCTCAATCCTGGAGACCCAGAGCTGAGGCCCAGCTGTGACAATGTAGCAGACTTTTGGACACAGTCACCTGGGCGGGAATGAGGCAGGGTGGAAACACACTTCTTCCACTCATGGTGCTTCCTCTGCGGGGCCTCCACCGGCATAATCGTCAGACACAGCCCCCAGAGAGGGGGACTTCCTGGATTTGCACTGCCCTGTACCCCTCTTCCTCCAGGCAGTGAGGCTCCCAGAGAGCACAGGCCCGCTTGCTCGCCCTGCTGCCTGGAGGTGCAGGTTGTGGGGGTGGGGGGGCTTGGCCACGCAGCTGTCCATGACTGGGTGAGCACATTTCTTTAATTCAAGAGGGTTCAAGAGTAGGTGACCCACCTGCTTACAAAAAAACCAAAATCCATGTTCTCCAATATACGTGTTGTGAGAATCAATGCCAGTGTCTTCAGCTCATTTTTCCTTCATTCTATTGCCCTATTTTTCAGTTGGTTCAGAACTTGGGAAGGAAGGGTGCTATTTACTTCTGAGCCCTTCTGAACTTTTAGCAGTGAACAAGGTTGCAGTGGGCCAGATTTGAAGACCAGAATCAAATGCACTAAACTTGACAGGCACCAGCCGCTCCCTGATGGACCCCGGCCAGGCTCCTTTACAGAGAACAGTGAATTGAAACACTCAAGGCCAAGGGGCAGCTGGCCAGGGAGCAGGCTGGAAAGAAGGCTGGTCTGTGCCCACCTATTCATCTTGAAATCGATGGCACTCTGTTTGGACCTAGAGTAAACGATATTCCCTTAAAAAAGTAAAAGAGTAATCTTCTCCTTTCGGTCCTAGATACTATCAGTTTAGTCCCCTGAAGTCTTATCTAAATTGTATCCTAATTTCCTCTTCATACGTTATAAATCTGTTATCATAAATTGATGCTAGGCATGCCAAGTTAACTACAATATTCTTTTATACTTTTATAATGACCCCTTATCCACAATAAAAGATTGTTTGCAGCCTTTATTGCCTGTTACTAAGTCAATGACTCAGTAGAAAAAAAAATGGTTACAAGTTAAGGTAAACAGAGCTCATCCTGTCTCCCGTGGTTTCTGAGGCTTAGAATCTGTACCTTAATGTCACCATAACAGGGAAGGATGGCAGGACCAGTCTCCTGACAAATGAAGACAAAATATCAGATATGCTGTGCCCCGTTCCCTTTTCTCCTGCTCCTTATTAACATAATATCAGTTTTAAATATGCTGGTTTCATGACTCTGCCAATAGAAAGGGTTCTTGTATATGTGAAACAGGATGGGATTTTATAAACAAACCTGGAAAACACTAAGTGTTTACCGAATTATGAATTAATACATAAGTGGAAGAGAGAGAAGAAAGAAGGGGTCTAGACACAGATCCTGCAATGCTAATTACTGCTAGAAAGTCTTCATTTTTGGTAAATACTCTGATTCTTAACATCATCCTTAAGCTGATAACCTTCAGCTAGGCATATTCTGGACACAGAAGGTCGACTCAGCCAGTCCTCAGGGATATGGCTTGAAGCCCCTCATCCCGAAGGCCCACGAGGGAGATACTTTCCCGAAACTTGGATGTCTGTATGTGCTTTACTGACATTAAAAAATGGCCAGCTCCCTAAGATTCTGCGTGCTAACACCACCGGGGCCACATCCTAAAGCATGGACTCTGCAGGTCCTGTCCTCCAGGGTCCACAGGTCCGACACAGTGACAGCCCCTCGGTACTTCCACGTGCACCTCTAGGACATGGCCAAGGACGCTGGCTCTTCACCACATTACTGCATCCTTCTTACCAAGATCCACGAGAAGAACTATCCTCAGGACTTAGCACCAGAATAACACTGTGAAGCGTTGTTTTTGACCTTGCAATCTTCTAAAAAAATGTTCTTAGACTTATTAAATTATAAGAGTAATACACCTAACTTGGGAAAATTCCATGGTCTAAAGGGCACACGAGGAACACCTTGAAATGGTCTATTGTGGGATGTGTGATGGGCTGGAGGGGGCTCACTGTACTGCTGTGCTTCCTAGAACGCACATGTAGCACAAATGTTTTAGATGCAGTGAATATCACCTTCCTTTCCTTCATAAATAAATTATGTAAACGCTTTTTGCACAGGCTGCGGAGAGCCAGGTGCCAAATCTGTGCCTCCCTCCCTAGCTGTACAGCAACTTTGAACCTGTATTTTTTATACCAGCCTTAGCCATTAATTACCTTTATTTTTCCTACCCTCATTTTCCTTTAACCACAATTTCTTTGTCCCTCCAGCATTGCTGAGATATAACAGACATGGAACATTGTGTAAGTTTAAGGCATACAATGTGATAAATTGATAGATGTATCTATTGTGAAATGATTATTGCAAGAAGGTCAGTAAACACATCTGTCATCTCACATGGCTACCTTTTTTGTTTTGTGGTGAGAACATTTAAGATCTGTGCTCTTAGCAACCTTCAAGAATACAATACACTATTGTTAACTACTGTACATTAGATTAGATCCCCAGAACTTATTCATCTTTTTTATTGCATTATTTAATTATTTTATTTTGGCAGTGGGGGTGGTAATTAGGTTTGTTTATTTTTAGAGGAGGTACTGGGGATTGAACCCAGGACTTCGTGCATGCTAAGCATGTGCCGTGCCACAGGAACTTACTCACCTTAAAACCAAATGATTGTACCCTTTGACCAACATTTCATTTCTCTCACCCTCTGGCAACCATCAATCTACTTTCAGTTTCTATGAATTCTAATCAAAATTTCTTTCTCTTTATTTTCTATTTTTGTGTTTCTCATATTTGTATTTTCTTGTATTATAATAATAAACTGCTTCATACCTACTTGAGTATGAGGAGGTTGTTTTAATACTAAAAAAGGCCTCTGGTTATGAAGGCCTTAGTATTCATGTGCAGACACATAATGAAAAGTCGGGGTCCTGACCCTGGAGGCTGCCTAAGGATCCCCTGGGGCTTCCTTCCTAATTCAGAGCATCAGGCTCCACCCACTCAGCCTGGGGAGGGGGCCCCAGCAGGTTGGTATGCACTCCCGGACAAGGGTTCAAGGACTCTGAAAACTTCCTCGGGAGACACTGGTGTACTCACAGCCCCAAGCAAGAACCCAACTCAACTCCACACGCCTCCAGCTGAGCTTCTAGGAAGGACGCAACATCACCTATGTAATATTTTGGCCTGTCATGCGAACCTGACTCCAACCACAAAAGGAACAGTGCTCTACTTTTAAAGGAGAGGAAGGAGTATATTCCTCTAAAATGTCAGTGTCATGAGAGTCAAAGGAAGACTGGGGGAATGTTCGAGATGAATGGAGGCTAAAGAGACACAACGAATCAACACACTCCTAGGGTGCGGCTGCTGTAAAGGGTGTTAACAGCCCGGCAGACAAAACTGGAAAATGCACCGCAGGTCAATTAGGTAAGAATAGTGCATCAATATTAAGTTTACTGAAGTTGATAATCTACGGTTATGTAAGAGAACATTCCTATTAAGAAATGCACACTGCATTCAAGTAGGGAGGGGAAGAGAACCATAATATATGTAATTTATTCTCAGATGGTTCAGAAAACATATTGTGTGTGTGTGTGTGGAGAGAAAGTAAACGGGTAAAATGCCAGCAGCTAGTGAATGAAGGGTAGACAAGTGTCCTTTCCGCTACCTTTGCAACTTTCTGTAAGTCTGTAATTATTCTAAGTATAAAGTTAAAAAAGATTAAACGAAAGCCCCTACCTTAGGCTGTGCAACTCCAATGTGACAGTTATTTTTTAAAAAGCGGAAAGTTTCCTTCGATTCCTGCTGACTTGCCGCTGTGACCAGGCCCTGGACCCTCAAGCAGCTCCACTGGGCAGAGAAGAGGGCGCCTCCCTCCCCACCCCACCCCCCAGGAGGCCGCCTTCCAGCTGCTCAACATTGAAAAAGAGCTTTCTTTTCCTTCTGAGAAGGCACAGACCTCCTAGGCCGGCTGAAACACAGACCCTGGAATGTGTTATTTTCTCCTGCTCTCTCACTTTTTAATGTTACGGGACTTTTCAGTCTGGGGAGCAGACCAGGGGCGCAGAGCCTCACCGTGCCAGGCCTCGTGAAGTCCACGCTGTGCGCCAGGCTCTGCCGCATCTGGTTACTGAAGAGGCGGACACAGACGCTCTGGAGGTACTCCGGGGTGATCTGCACAGAGGACAGAGGACAGCTGGTGAAAGGCGCGAACCGCCCCCTCCCCAGCCACATGCGGCGCCCTGGCAGGCGTTGGAGCTGCCCCTCAGCAGTCTCTCTGTGGGCACAGGGATGCGACTCTGCTTTAACATCGGAGCTCCAGGGAGCTAAAGCACCAAGCGCTATAGCAAAAAAACTGCTAACCTACTACAGCTATGATCATGGGATAGCAGACTTTAAGTTATAGAATTCCACCTGATGTACTCCCACTGTCATGTAAGATAAACTGATTTTAAAGCTTTTGTTGTTGTTACTTCAAGCAATACAGTCATTGGGTGGCTATAATGTGGGGGAAAGAATGCTGGGCTTAAGATCTGAAGGCCTGGGCTCAAGGAGTGGACCCCTGAGAAGGCCAGCAGCTCTGCCTCCTGCCTTCCCGACCTGTCAGATGAAATGAATGACGTTCACCGCTCCGGGTCACAAGGAGGGGTAAACGAGGTCAAGGAAAAGCCTCGCACATGGCTGATGGCTCAGTAAAGGCCTATGGGAAGAGTGATGGAGACATTTTATAAACCATCAAGAGCTTGACAGCTGGAGGCTGGATCACTGTTGCATCAACACTACTATATCACAGCATTTTTCTGTGGCATCTCTCATGCCTCTCTCCACAACTCCTATAAATCAGGACTAACGTACAACATCTAAGGTGGTAATCTCTGAAATTTTTTCTTTTCATCTTACATCTTTTCTTTTTATAAAAGTAATGCATGCACATGTAAAACATATGAACGCCATAACCTCTCCCCAGTCCCACCCTGCCCCCACAAACCAATCCCTGGAGGTAACTACTCAACAGGTTTACATCCTTCCAGTCTTTTCTATGCTTGATGGTTAGAGGGAACCTCCTTTTCGACAGCCTCGTGATTCCACGTGGTGAACTTCCACGTGGTAACGTCACTGGCCTCTCCTCCTGCTCCTCACTCAGTCCTCACCGCAGGAGGAAGATAACTGATTGGTGAGTCAGAAAGAGTGGGAATGCTGGCTAGACCCTCTTCTCTCCCTCTGGTGCTCCTGCCTACCCCACTGGAAGCTTCTGATCTGCTCAGCCACATGGAAGGCTCTATCCCCCTGTGGCAGACGTCTCTGGTCACTCCAAGGCACTCAACTGTAAGTGACTCGAAGAAGGGCCTTATCTCTCAAGGCTGCATCTTCTACATTACCCTGAGTCCATGTCCTCTGAATTCCTATAGTATCAAAACGTAAACATTCCTTTTTCATCCTGTATGTTTAACCTTCCCTTTTATAACTGTTCCTTCCCTAGCTAAAAACATGTCCAAATATATTTCATATTAAACAAATGTCTTCCCCTTTCTCCTCCCTAGGTCCTCACCCATCAACCCCCTACCACTACAATGTTCCTCCTTCACAGCCAAGGTCCTTGCAAGAGCAGCCAACATTTGCGGGCTTACCTTCCTACACGCCACACTCGAGCTCTCAGGTGCACCTGCACCGCCCCAAGGAAACTCACCGCCAATGACCTTCTAAATGTCAAAAACATTGGACACCTTTCAGTTCTAGACTTCTAGAGTTTTCTGTGAGGCTTTGGATCCAACCCTTGCACTTGAAACTGTTTCCTCCTTTGACTTCTAGAACTGCTACCACAACCATCTCTTTAACAAGGAAATTTGTTCCGTCACTTTCTTGCTTGAAACAGGTGAATGAGGAAAGGATATGAATAAACAGTTGACTAAAAGACAAAATATCAATGGCCAACAAACATGAAAACATATTCAGCCTCACACATAAGTAAAGGAATGTAAATTGAAACATTCAGAATACCAAGTTTTACTCACCAAACTGGCAAAGATATCAAAGTATAATCATGTCTATCTAGTCTTGGCAAGTGTGTGGAGAGACACTGATACACTACTGGGGGTGGGGGTGGGTAGACACTGTTGAAATCTTTGGAGAAATAATTTGGCAACATCTATCAAAATTTGAATGCCCATAACCTTTGACTTAGCAATTATACTCTTAGGATCTCATCTTACCTATATTCAAAGGTATACACTATATATAAGGATGCTCATTGCAACAGTTTTTGTTATAGCAAACCAAAAATCTGAATGTTCATCATCAGAGATCGGATGGATTATGGTTCAGTCTTACAATGGAATAATGTACAAGCAACAAAAAGACTGAGGTAGGTGTCTGGCTGTGTGGAAAGATCTCCAAGATATAGTGAAAGTGAAAGAGCAAATTTGAGAAGAGCAATGGGTCGCATGAGCCCACGGAAGTATGTGTATATTACATGCACATGCACACACATGTCCACACACGCATATGCACAGAAGTGTTCTGAAATAATACACAAGAAACCTTAGTCTCAAATATCAATAAGGAAGTGAGACTAAGGAATTGTGTGTGGAAGGGGCCTTTTCCTTCTTACTACATACTCCTCTGAATTATTTCAATTTTTTACTAGGAGCATGTATTTCTTTTACATTAAAAATAAGAGAGTTAAGAGTCCAGTCCTTGCCCCTCCCCTCCATCTCACCGAACTTGACCCTGGAGGCCCCGCCCACCCCACCTGGTGGTCTGTGGGCCTCTGTGCACAACTCCAGCAGTGACAGCTTGAGTGCCCATCTCTGGTCAGCATGCCACATCTGGTGTCACATCGACCCTGGCCGTTGGAGGCACACCAGGATGATGGTAGTTATATTTGAATAGGAGAGAAGGCAAAAGGAAAACGTATGCTTTTCTTTTTATTTTTCTCTGTACTGTTTCGAGTTTTCTAACTATGTACATGTCTTCTTTTTCTTCCTTTTTGTCAACAGTAGCTATATAAGCCACTTTTGGTTTGTTTCTGGTAATTTTTTGTACTAAAGAAAAGTCAGTATGTGCTATTTTCGAAACTAAAAAAAACCTCTAACACTAAAAGTCCAGTTTTCAAGATACACATTTCAAAAGCTGCTCACTGACTGCAGGATAAAGCACGAATTCCTAAGCAGGGTCTACAGATCTCCCCACTATCTTCCCCGATCCACTCCATCAGTCTTCTTTCAACACATGCCATCCCTCCAGCTTCGGCCATTTCCAGACACACGAAGCAACTCTGAGCAGTTGTGTGAATGTTTGTGCTTTCACACAGCAAAGAGGTTTCAGCACAGGATATTAAAACATATGGAAAAGCTATTGGAAAAACAATGCATGGACGTAGCTCTGGCCTCAAATTCTGGGGGACTCCCAGGGAACTGCACACCCACTCCTTCCAATTGTTTACTCAGATGTCCACATATATAGGTGAAAACCTGGAAACAACCTTAATGTCCAACAATGGGGACCCACCTGAGACTAAAATAAAGTATGGCATTGCCATGTGATGGGAAACTCTGCTGCTACTGGAGCTGGGGTATGGTAGGAGAATATTTAATGACTTTAAGAACACATGATTTAGGGGGGAAGGTATAGCTGTAGTGGTAGGGCGCATGCTTAGCATGCACAGGGTCCTGGGTTCAATCACCAGTACCTCCCCTACGAATAAATAATTAAGTAAACCTAATTACTTCCCCCCTAAAAAAAGAACATACAATTTAGTGTTAAGGAAAAAAGCAGATTAGAAAACTGCATGAACTGAGTCCATTTTTGTGAAACATGTGTATCTAAGTATTGAAAAAAGTCTGGAATGGTAACAAATGTTATTACTAAGTGACAGAATTTAGGTAATTTTATTTTTGCATAGTTCTAGATTTTTGAAACTTCCTATTATGTAGTAAGTTGCTGAAACAATTTAAATACACAAGCTTAACTGGTATAAAACTGAGTAAAGCTTAACACACACACGAGTACAAGTAAAACTGGGAAATCAGAATAAAAGCAACGGATTATATCAATACCAATATCCTGGTTGAGATATTGTACTATAGTTTTGCAAGACGTTACCACCGGTGGAAAATGGGCAAAGTATACAAGGACTCTCTCTGCATTACTTCTTAAAATTACATGTGAACCTATAATTACTCCCATTAAAAAAAAACTATATTTCCACAAAGAGATTTTATTATACTTTCTAATTTTTTATTGAGTAAAACACCAGAGGCATTCCCATTAAAGTCAGGAATAAGACAAAGATGCCAATGATCACATTATTCAACACTGTCCCGGTGGGAAGGGTATGGTTCAGTGGTAGAGCATGTGCTTAGCATGAACAAGGTCCTGGGTTCAATCCCCAGTGCCTCCATTAAAGAAACAAACAAACAAACCTAATCATCCCCACAAAAAAACAAAAAACAAAAACAGTGCCCCAGAGTCTTAGCCAAAATGTTAAGAAAAAAAAAAAGAAAGTTATGATATATAATGAGAAAAGCAAAACAAAAATATCATTATTTGAAAATGATTTGACTGCCAATCTAGAATATAAGAGAATCAATCAAAATAACCTATCAGGTTAATAGAGTTGAGAAAGGCAGCTGCATACAAAAGCAATATATAAAAATCTATAGCTGTCTTATATATATATCAACAGGGTACATATCCCCCTCGTTTTTACACCACTACACACTACTTTTTTCTGTTGCAAATTTATTCTTTGCTAACATTAAGAATAAGGTAGAGCGATAAAGACATGGTAGATAACGTGTTAGGGAAGTAGATGAAATGCTGCAGCAGCATGATAAACAGCATGCATGTGGCTCTGTGAAGTAGGGGCAGGTGTCACTGGCTGGGGGCAGCCAGGAATCACATATCAACACGGTCCATGCCCATGACGCACCTTTATCTCAGAGAAGACATGTGAACAATGCGGGATCTTCCTTACCATCTTGCCACTGACTGTGGCCTCCAGAGAATCCACCAGCTCGGCTGTGACTCCAATGAGATTGTGGTAGTCCGCCTGGATCTTATTGTACCGTTTCAGGTATGTCATTGACCTTCGCTCAGCTTCTACCAGCTGCTGGTGGAGCTGCTGCAACATTTCTAGGAAGACAATTTATACTTACATTAAAACAAAACAAGAACAACAATTTAAAAACCCTTACAAAATTAAAAAATAATTATATTCTTCTCAAGGGAATACCACACCCATTGCTAGAATATTTTACTATAACAATGAACTTGACACTACGTATTTGTGTTTAATACTACTTCTGTTTCACACCACATTTAATTACAAAGTGCTTTGTAATCACTGATCTTTTATTTCTTATCCCTTGTGGTTCAACTGAATCATCACTGATTTTCCTAAAAAATCTATTTCCTTGACTGAACCCCACACACCTTTTAGTTCTTCTATATAAAAGAAACAAACTCAGCATTTCTTTCTATCATCAGCTCACAAAATGGTTGAACCAAACCTGTGTCTTTTTCTCTGTTAGTGCCCCATGAAGTTGCCTGGGGGATACTTCTAACCACTTTTTAAGTAAAGGTTAGGGCTGCTTGCCTGATGCTGAGAAAACTAGAATCCAGGATTAGGGAAGATCTTAGGTGCTCATCCTGCCAGTTCCATAAGGCACAAGCCACCTCAATGGGCCTTAGAAGTCTTGGAAGGTTCTCGGGTTCTCTTCTTGGACTCTCCCCCACCCTATCTTCACCTCCGTGCCCCATGGGCAGCACCTGATGGCCAAGCCTTCCTGGGTGCAGTTGGAATATGTGAATTTTCATCGGCGTCACACTCCTTGGCCCTACCCTACATTCTCCCTTTCCTGGAAGACTGTGTTTTAGATGGAGGGACGAGTTGCTGCCCCTAAACGCAAGTTAACTCACTATTGTCCCAATGCGGGCACTGTATAACATCTAAACTCTTCATTTTAGAATATTTCATGTGTATAGAGACTTTAAAATTATAAAGACCAAATATGGTCATTGTTTTATAATAACTAAAGTATAATTGACAAAAATATTGAATCACTATGTTGTACACGTGAAACTAATAAAATACTGTAAATCAACTATACTTCAGCTTAAAAAAATTATAAAGACCGAGGTTCAAATTCCTACACTACCAATTTCTTGCTGGGTAACCTGGGTCAAGGTACTTAATTTCTCTGCTTCTCATTTCTTAACCTATAAAATGGGGGAAATAATGATCTTGAAGGGTTACTCTGAGGATTAAATCAACAGACATACTCAAAGTGCCGAGCACAAAGCTGGCCCGTAGCAGCTGCCTGTTCACGGCAGCTATTGTTATTATTCCCTTTCATGGAAAGGGGTCAAAGATTTTCTAAACGTATTTCTATGCAAGTAGATAACTTGAAAAAGTGACAGATAGGTTACATCCGAAAGCAGTGGTATGCAAACTCTGACATCTATCAGAACCACCCAAAAATAGAGATAATCAAGCCTCACCTCAGAGAATCTGATTTTGTGGATGCTGGGAAGGGGCTGACTATCTACACCATCAACAAACTCCCCAAATGGCTCCGACACAGCCCACAAGTTTGAGAACCACTGTCCTAAATTATCATTTCTTCCTAATCTGTGTCCTAAACAGCTATGAGGATCACCCACATTCAAACTGTATTTCAAGAACTTTCATGTCTCACCATTGTTGATGTGTAAAAGTGAAATATTTTAACCATTAAAACCTAAAATATCTCAAAATAATCAAGTGTTATTACTATTTAACACCCATGAAATCTCAGTATTGAGAGGTAACTAAAAAGTCACCTGGCAAAAATTTACATCCATTACTTGAACATCTGGAGAACATTCCTGGAAATCCTTTATCAATCTTCTAATACGATATGGGGAAGGAGTCATTACCTTCTTCCTACACTAAGTATTACTTAAGCTTTTTCATACATACAAAACTCAATATTACATAAACAAGAACTTCCAAGGATGAAAATTACACAGATAATACACAGTCCCATGTTATGGTAATAAATACTGGAAAGTGTCTGTGTGAACTTTCTCAACAGGTACCAAGTGGCAGGTGAATGAAATACCAAAACCCATTAGGTGGGTCAACTGCCTTTCCAAATCATCAGTGTTGATGTCACCAAAGTGGTCCCTCTTGAAAGGAGCCTGCGCACACGTACAAAAAACATCCTTCCCCTCAGAAACTCATTGCACAATTAACTAACTGCAAGGGACTATTTGTGAAACTTTTGCCTTGGGAACCCAGAATTCATGTTTATGACAATTTCAAAGTATGGTAGTATACCTGAGGGAAAGGAGGCCTAACTGCCAACAGTCTACAGGAAAGAGTAAAGTAGGCAACTGGGCTGAAACGTTCATAACCATTTCAGATACACCATTTAGCGAAAAACAGCCTGCTATCCAGAGATGTCACCTTGCAGACACCTTAACTGGCTACAAACAGGATGTGACCATTACTGTAAGCTATTGGGGTTACAGCTCAATACATCAACTTTATTTCTTAGCATTAAACAGAACTTTGACTCCTTTTTCCTTGTTAAAAGTTTTATGAGACAAGGACAACTAAGCCAAGATGCCTTGCCACGCAAGATCTCAACTTTCAATGGAGATGTCTTATTCCATGTTATTTTAGTGAAACTGTCATAGTCATGCCAGCGAAGTGTATTGAGACTCTTCATATTTCAAAGCCACTGACATAATTTGTGCAAAAGTCCAAAGAACTGCATCCCAGGTTTTAAACAAAAGATACATACAACTAAAAGAATGCCAGTTAAGGTCACAGAAAGTTTTCCTATAATTCCACCATGAAATGAAACAATAACAAAAGTGATGGAGATCTTCCCTACAGTCAAGCAGGCAAGCTTTCTCTTGTTAACATTTCTACTTCATCTAGATACATTGCTTTTTTTTTTTTTAAGAGCAGATGAGATTTAATTTTAGAGACCCCTTGGCTGCTCAAGATGATACATTTTAAAATATGGAATTTTTTTCTAACCTAATATAAAAAACTAAAATCAATCACTCTATTCTTACAATACCATAGACTCTTTTTAATTTGTATTCAGATATATATTGGCTGTTTGCTATTTTGCTAGCCAACAAATACTGAATGAAGAAAGTTAAGACTTGTAACTTGGAATATAGGTCATCATTTTCAAAAATACTATTTACAGCTCTGGACTCTAGAAAAATAATCAGTTTTATTTATGGTTTCCTTTGCTGTGCAGAAGCTTATAAGTTTCATTAGATCCCATTTGTTTATTCTTGCTTTTATTTCTTCTAGGAGAAAATTTTTGAAATGTC